TAGAGGGGGTCCGGACTGGCAGTGACTGGCAGTCCCAGACAGGTCGTGTCTGGGACATATTGGAAAACCCTATTTAACTAAATGGGGTATCTTCAAGGTATGTGTCAGGTGATTTGGTCGAACAGCAAAGGCCAACGACCCAAGTCCCTGTCGGCATGTCAATAGAGTTAAGACTTAAAAACCGTTGTGATCGGGTCCAACATGTTGTAACTATAGCTATAATCACATTCTCAATTCTCTTGAAATTCTGCAATTCCCGGCCTACCCTTACTGAAAGAGCAACGAGCATTCATCTCATTTCATCTCCGCTTTACTTGGCTTCTAAAATAAGTGATACGTGATTGCTTAGGCTAGTATCAAATAGGGAGACCAAAAGGTAACTTGGAAGAACCAATAGATTCAAAGGTTCTTTCTGCGGATCCTGCGGATCCGGATCAGGATCGAGGTTTCATCCCCCACCAACAGCTATAGCTGTCGAGTCGGGCTTCAAAGACATCGTCTGCTGGGACGAAGAACCGGGGTGAAATCGCGCCTGAAATCACCTGTTCTGTTCGTCTCAGAACCTCATGGCCACCAAAGTCCGACCAGCAATAACGGGGTGCGAGGCTAGGGTCGCCCATGATCCACTCAGTGACTCAAAACCACCCTTGGTGACGCCTGACACCTCTCTTTTTCAGAGCCTCGCGTGTCTCTGGCGACGTCTCTCTCTCGCTCGCGAGACGCATGTCTCGTCGGTAGCTGCCGTCGCGTCGCGTCGCGTCGCTCGTCGTCGCGCCGCGTCGATCTCTCGCTCGGTCCTCTTGAGATTGCTGGCGACCTGCCGCGCGGTCTCGGAAAGCAGCTGCGTTTGGGGACCCAAGAGCAGATCCACCAAGCCTCGCGGCTCGCGGCTCGCTGCGGTCAGCGCGCCGCGGGACCGGTTGGGACGGACCGGAGACGGTGGGACGGTGTCGGACCGGACTGAGTGTCCCTGAGGGTCTCTCCACTGAGTGTCTATGAAGCTCACAATTGTCCCAAGCTGGGTGGTTTATATGCACTATACCCAATTGAATATAACAGTGGGATGATGATCGCTAGATTGCAGGCCTTTCTCTATAGTGCTCATATGTGATCATTGTGTACTGACTGGTACAGGTAGACTGTTACGACCGACTCAAGTCCCCATCTTTGGGGTTTAGTTTAGTGCCATCCACTCTGGAAACCACCCCCTGGTGGGGTTGATCCCGGATGCAGGGAACGAAGGTTACAAGGGATTCTCCGTGATTCAGTTGCAAGGGATTCGGCCGTTTGAGTTGTGGAAAGAGCAGCTGGTTCACAGGTTCTTCCCACCTGAAGGAGCATGGAAGGCTATATTGAACGTTCAGGTCAACGAGCTGTGCCAGGGGGTTAAGTAAACATGGTCTTTTTCCAGGTTCGTCATTGGCCAATGACAACTGTCGTCTCTGGTGCTGGCGCTTCCAAAACGGAAGGAGAAAGCGCTCAGCACTCTCGGACGCCGAAGCACACTCTCGGTTCAGACTTGACCAGACCAGTTGGACCGGAAAACATTTGGCCTACAGACCCATTTGGATATATGTTCCCTGGGAGTCAAAGACTATTTAATTAAATGGTCTTTAGGGGAACTGATTTCGGGAACTTCCTTTACTCCAGCCGGTCAAAATATAGTCGAACTGGACTTCTAGGGTTTTAGTAGGGCGACCTCCTGGCTTGGTTTCGTTTCTTTCCCTCTCTTTGTGTCCCTTCTTCCACCAGGGGCGTTGCCTGGGAGGTCTAGCTACAGACCCATTTGGTGGTTTTTGGATGGTGAATGTACTTGGGCCACGGGCCACATCGGGCACCAGGTACAACTGCCACCCTTCGTAGCCAGGGCACGGTTTTCTATCATCGCGGTATACAGCTCGCGCACCTAGCGCAATGACGCAGCCGGACACGAAACGAAGAGGGCGGGCGCGAAAGGAAAAGGCTGTAGCACCGGTATACCAGTCTGAGGACAACACCCGAACAAAACCAGTTGCCTGGCAAGACAAGAACAAGAGGTCGGTGTTTTGAACTTCAAAGACACCTTTTCAAACATAACTAGTACCCTAATTAGAATCCTTGGACTCTCCATGGCAGGGGTCGGACTTTCTCCACCGAAACGCAGGGGTCTGGGCCCGAACCAAACCCTATGTGTTGGTTCGGGCCTGGATTCTCAGGGTATGGTAAAACACTATCCCAGACACTCCATGGGACTGCCATATATGCCGCCCCATTGACCCCCTTTTCAACCACCCCAATGGAGTGTCTGGCATATATGGCAGTCCCATTAGTCTTGTCTGGGTATGATTGGTCCTTTGCACTTCTAGTATACATACTAGTACCCTAATTAGAATCCTTGGGCTCTCCATGGCAGGGGTCGGACCCTATGTGTTGGTTCGGGCCTGGATTCTCAGGGTATTGTAAAACACGATGGTCCTTTGCACTTCGATCCCTTAAATCATGTGAGTTCGGTAGAAGGCCTTTCACTTCCGCAGCTCCGGTGGACGCCCGACGGTGTCGGGTCCGCGACGGACGACCCAAAACTGCTTCGAAACCCGAAGGGGGCCTCCCCGGTGGCACGAGCTTGGAGCACGCGGGATGACCATGAAAGCGGGTGCCAACCCATGAAACAACACCATATCAAGAAAAAACACATCTCTATAGAATTCCTGAATGTTCATGGATGATCATGGACCCCTTTTTTTTGGAACACTGAGGGTGTTTCTAGTTTGAGATGGCCAAGTGGTTCTCATCCACACAGAGGTTCTTCTCGCACCGATTTTGGAGGAGGTCCCGTGCGCCACGGAGGTTCCAAACGGGTGGCCGAGCCGGCTCGTTTGGAATCCCACACGATTGATGGCGTAGATACCTATAGAACCCATTTGACCTCTCTTTCGATAGAAAAAAGACCATCTTTTGAGTGGTTTGTGGTCCAAGAATAGAGGTCATTCAGATTGAGGTTCTGGTATATGACCTATATACATGAAAACCACCCCAACCACCAGTCATGTACGCCATATTCCAATGCGAAAATGATGGATCGTTTGGGAATGTATTCCAGCTCCATGGGGACAACACAGGCCAGCGGTTTCGGTACTTCTTACTCCAGCAGCCCAAAACTGAAGGGACCGAAGGTCGACTTGTCTTCTTTTTCGATCATGTAGACTGTAGACTCTTGATGAATCAAATCCCACACATAATATATTTATCCAGAGTCGACATGACAAAATGAGACCCAAACGCTCCATGAGACCGCAAAGAAGGCCGACATTGGGTGGTTTTGAGTGGTGAAAGTATGCCGTATTAGGTGCGCCACCGTTGGTCGCGAAACAGGGCGATGTACTCACTGCAGCTGTTGTCGCCCCCATTTTCATCGCTATAGTTCAGGGACAAATACTCACTCTTAGAAGTCTAGACGCTGCATTCGTGTGCATTCTTCTTGGCAAATCATGATACTATTGATATGATATATAAAGGCCCCACCAAAACTTGAACAATCTTTTCTTGCGAGCAGTCCGGGTGATTCATGCCTGTTGAGGATCCTATACCTGTCATACCTGCCAACTGTTCAAGAAAATGAAGCTCTGAGAGAACCTTACGACTCGCCAAGCTCTGAGTCTCAGAGGTGTTCCGTTCCCGAAAGGTTCCTGTGAGCTCGTGGATTGGAGCGACGGTTCAGTCCTTTCTTTCGTAGGTCTTTATACTGCCCCGAGAATCCGGGCCCGAAGCAACACATAGGGGCTCTGGTTCGGGTGACCCCTGCGTTTCGGTGGAGTTTCAGTCCGACGCCATGGAGAGCCTATAAGGATTCTTAGGGAGAAACACTCCCGAAAGGAGCTCGCGGAGTCGATGAGGATCGGTCTAAAAGAACACTCCCTTGGAGTCGTTTGGATGGGCGATCCTATGAAGCGACATGGAAACGGGTGTTGAATGGCTGTTTGGTCATTAGGACATGTTGAATGGCACAAACACACACACTCTCATTTTACTGCGCACTGGCCCTTTGCCAGTTTTAGACTAGTCTAAACCTCTAAAATCCACCTTACTGCCTCCCAGTGAGACCCATTCTTCGCTCACAAACGACGCGTAGATTCCCATCGTCCACCCCGGAAACCACCTCCACGCGGCCCGGCCGCGCGAGCAGCTCGCACGCGGCCCCCGAAGCGGCCCGTGCGCCTTGGCTGGCTGCCCTTGGTCGTCATAGACCCTTAAGCCCTTGGAACGGCCGAACGGTGCACGGCGAACAGGGCCGAGTGAACGCGACTGTCGCTTCGCGACCACTGGGGAGCTCGTGCGTCCCTTGTTGGTTGGTCATGATCATCAAACGAATGCCTCTGGCAGGATGGTCATGGTCATCTGAAAAGCCACAATTCGGTGGGTCGTTGGAGATTCAACCCCAAACAAGACCCATGGGACTGACATATTTGCCTGTGCAATTGGGGTGGTCTATGGTGGGGCGGGTCATAGACCCCTCGCCAGCCCCATGGAGTGTTTGGGTATTGCCAGGTCCTGAACTGTTCATCCCCGGTTTTGACGTCACTGATCTTAGCTGTAAACAAGGTCACCTAGCTGTAGAAGGCTGCAAGTCATGACGATCCGGGTCTTTCAAAATCCAGCAGAATCCATGGGCGGTATAGATCTGCGCTGTCCGACATCAGTGAAAGGACTCCAAGAATACCATGCTATTGCGAGATGTGCAAACATGCTCCTTTTGGATGCTATCGTGATAGCCGGATTGAACACTGCAGTTGTGTGAACACGCAAAAAACGGTTCATCCAGAAAACCGTGCAAAGCAAGAAGAACTGTAATGCTGAAATACTTGGAACATGCAGGTATTTATCGCCTTTGTTATATGCTATCCACAGAATGTGAGCAAATGAAGGCAAAACTGGAAAGCGAGAAAGCAGCTGAAATGCTCCAAACATGAAACACCATGTTTTGTTTCTGTATTAAAATCATCAAACACCGAGGCTTTATTGGACACGCACCTTCATTGCGCATGATTTTTGTCACTCGAAAATTGTATACACTTCGCTGAACTTTGGCGAGGCTTGCCCTACTAGGCCTCCTAGGCTGCTATCTTGCTGCATCCAACAATTGAATGACTTCGAGATGGCCCATGACTGCTGCCAACTTCAAAGGCGTCAAACCGCGATGGGTCGCAGCATGTTTGTCCGCTCCCGCTGCCAACAACTCTCCTCACTTCAGAGGGGATTGGCTGAAGAAGAACATCATTCGGGAAGAAACAAACATGAAAACAACCTCTTCCCCCAACGCGCCATCTCAACAAACACGAACGGCAGACTATGCGTGCTGAAACTGAGAACGAAGGAGCAAAACCACCACAAAGTTCAGGAACCCGTTTCTTTCCTCCGTCCCAACCCCCTGGGGCCTTTGGGGGGGGATCTTGGAATCGTTCCAAACCGGGAACAGTTCCTTCGAAAGGACCGTCCCAAACCCTGCAGGTCAAGAACAATCCGGCCTAGGGTTTGACCAAACCCCTGCGTTTCGGTGGAGAAGGTCCGACGCCATGGAGAGTCCAAGGATTCGGGGAAGTGAGCTCTGCTTTGAGGGCCAAACTGGACCTGTAGCTGTTGGGGGCACCCAAAATGTGAAGCCAAGTCTGCCAAGTCTCGTACCACCTCCACTCGACCATTCTCACAGGCCCAATGCAAAGCGGTGGAGCCATCAAGGGCAACGGCATCCTTCTGAGCTCCGACAAACAGCAATTCACGGACCACCTCCAATTGCCCGGAGTACGTGGCCAAATGTAAAGCCGTAAAACCCACTTGTGATGCCGCATCTTTGTTGGCTCCAGCTTCCAGGAGCAAGCGCACCACTTCCAAGTGACCACCCTGCGCTGCAACATGAATGGCTGCTTGGTCACGTGACAAGTGATCACGAGTGTTGGGATCATGAGGCAAGTGGAGCATGGCTTCAACTTCCTCCACACGGCCCTTTTCACATGCTGAAATGAAGGCGTGGTTCTGTTGACGCCAAGTGTCCTGACCTTGAAAGTCTAAAATCACCAGCTGCAAATCTGACGGCAAGGTCAACAGAGCATCATCTTCCAACTCGATGTCCTCCCTCAAGAGCCTTTGCCGAAATCGTGAGCATCCGATCTGCGCTGCCAGGTACTGTTTCAGTGCCCTGACAGGTTTTTCGCTCGACATGCGATGCAGCTCATCCGGATGAAACTCAGCCACAATCGCCCCGGACAGCAGCCGAATTCGGAGCATCAGGGGCGTTCGGTGAGTGAAACCTTCGCAACTCGTTGCCCAGGTCAGCCTTCGTCGCCCGGGTCAGCTCATCTGGAGCCAAACAGCGCGGGGGGGAAAGCAGTTTTCGGTCAGACTGAGTGATGCAGACTTGGCAAGCAGAACGGTGGCCACCAGTCCCAAACACTCCACGTGTGCCATATTTACCGATCAATTGGGGTGATTATTGATTTCACGTCTTTCTGGGGCGGCATCTACGCTAGTCCCATGGAGTGTATGGGAGTGTGTTTGGATGCTTGGAAGCGAAGTTCGTTTGGAGAGCCAATCGCCCTGCAAGTCAGGAACTGAGCTCATTTTCCCTAGGGATCCACATACCTTCTCAGGAGGTACTTGGGCCCTCCAAGCCTACATAAATAGTCTCCAATCACCTTCTAAGAAGGCACTTGGATCCCTAGGGTTTTTGAGTTATCCATACCAGTAACCGCGACTCAGTTGGAGACGTTGAGGTCTAGACCTGGGTCGGACCTGTTGTAATATGGATGGCACACATGGTTTTCTCTGGGATTCATGGTTTCACGTGGTTCTTCCATCTTCCTGCCGAGTCGACTGCGACGACATGAAGAAACATGAAACGTGCCCTTAAGAACCTGTTTTTTCCACAAACGAACTCAGCATAACTCAGCCATCTAACAGCAATCTAAGAACTGAATTACATCCTGGTGCCCCATGAGATCTGCCAATTTCCAAGCTGTGAGTCCACGGTTGGTCGTGGCATCCATGTCAGCTCCTGCTGCCAGCAGCTCGCGCACCACTTCCAAGCATCCATTCTCACATGCCATGTGCAATGCCGTTTGACCCCTTCCGGTCGCTGCATCTTTGTCCGCTCCCGCGGAAAGCAACTCTTCCACCACTGGTCGGCGGCCAAAGTAGGAGGCAAGGTGTAAGGGCCTCCAGCCTTCTTGTGTTCCAGCATCCATGTGAGCTTTTGCAGCCAGCAACTCTCGCACCACTTCCAAGTGTAAATTCCCACTGGCATAGTGCAAAGCCGTCCAGCCTTCTTCTTCGGCAGCATCCTGGTCAGCTCCGGCTTCCAGAAGCAGCCGCACCACGGCCAAGTAGCCCATGCGAGCCGCACAAAGAATCACCGGTTCATGACTTTCAGGATCTCGCGTGTTGGGATCGTGAGGGAAGCAAAGCATGGCTTCAACTTCCTCCACGCGGCCGTTGGCACAGGCTGAAATGAAGGCTCGCTTCATCTCCAGCCGAATGTCCTGATCTTGAAAGTCTAAAATCACCAGCTGCAAATCTGACGGCAAGGTCAACAGAGCATCATCTTCCAACTCGATGTCCTCCCTCAAGAGCCTTTGCCGAAATCGTGAGCATCCGATCTGCGCTGCCAGGTACTGTTTCAGTGCCCTGACAGGTTTTTCGCTCGACATGCGATGCAGCTCATCCGGATGAAACTCAGCCACAATCGCCCCGGACAGCAGCCGAATTCGGAGCATCAGGGGCCGTTGGTTCACAAGCTTATCACAAAGGAGAGTGAAACACGGACACCAAACCGTCCTGAGCCATCAGGGTCCACAAAGAGAGGACGCGTGGGCCATCAGGTTCTAACAAATTCCCACACTTACTAAATCTAAGAATAGCACACTCACCAACCACGTGAAGCAGTCAATCCCAGACACTCTAAGACAGCCATACTTACCAATCAATTGGGGTGGTTGAAACGTCGGGGGTCTGGGGTGGCAGATCTTCCAGTCTGCAGGTCGTGTCTGGGTACGAGACGGACACTTCCCCCAAGGGAATTCGTCCAAGAATTGGGGACCGACTTGACCAATGGAGTCCTAGTCAGTGGGACTACCCAGTCCCAGTCAGTTGAGCTACCCACCCAGTCTTTCGAAAGGCCTGATTCATAGACTTCTGGACATCCTTCCCCTAGAGGTCCAGTCAAAAGCCCCCGTAGAGGTCTCCTGGGTCCTGACAAGCTCAGTTGAGGGTCGTGGCTTTTGTAGAACTCCGGACAAAAATGAGGTCAGTTCCTGTAGGGATCGACACCCCGAAACAGCTCTATAGCGCTATTAGACACTTCCAGGCTCATGGCGGCCTGGTAGAGCTTGAAGTTGAAAGAAAACGCCCGGACCTCGCGTGGAACCCACCCCTTTCCACTGACCTGCCAAGCATCAAACATCAGCGTATTGTTACCTGAGCGGCGAAGGTGAGGTCGACAGGTGAGGTAAACAGGTGAGTGGCTCCAGGTCGAGCTGCATCCGCTGGTATTCTCTATGGCTCCATCGTGTGTGGATGCGATTTCGCACCTGTTTAGTCTTCGGAGTCTTGCTTTCAAGGTCGTGCCATCCATGATTCATTCGTAACAGGGGAGACGGACGTCCTTTGTAGTCCTTGTATCTCGCTCCTTCACTGCCCATTGGACTCCTTTAGCCTCCCCTTTTCGGAGAACAACGGCCGGTCACGCGTGCCGTGTGCCCCGCCCTCCAGCCGGGCCGGGACTTGGTCACTCGCCGCGAGCGAGCGGCGAGCCGTGGGAACAGCGGGTGATGTTGTAAATGGTAACAGCCATCTGTCTGTTTGCGCCAGCCACCTGTTGGTGTTTCAGGAACTTAAGGAACTCTTGTGAACGGTTTCCTGTTTTTCCATGGAGCCGTTGTCTTTTGAACCATTCAGGAAAACGAATTCGATGGCAAAGTCTCTTCGAACGGACGAGAGGTGCGGACTGGGGACCTCTGAATCTGTCCAAAGAAAAATGCACCTGACGGGTTCGCAAAAAGGCCACCACTTTCACCACTGGGCCCATATACATCCGCGTGCGTTTGTTCTCTTATAAGTTGGAAGTCCACACATAATTGAGTTTACCACTTTAAGGAAAGAAACAAGTAAAAGAACCAGAACAAAAACCATGAGCTCTCCCCCACTCCTCACCATCTCTCACCTGTGTTCCTTCTTTCTGGAACCAAACACTGTCCCATGGAGTCATAATGGTCAAGAAGACACCCCGAACCCTTGCAGTTTTTTGACTATACCCTATAGGGCTCCAAGTATCCCTTCGTTTCGCAGCTGGGACTGGGCTGTGTTTTCTCCCGATCCCGGTCCCCTCGTCCAAGCCACGGTGGTCCGTGAACTCTCCGGGCTGAAAGGCGAGGTCATTGGCTCGAGTCACCAAGAGCCTGGCGAGTCACGTCACGTGCCCTGCGTCGGTGAGAAGGCACATGTGCCGGGCGGTGTCAGGAACTGGAGAGACCGGACATGTTGACGGTTTAAAAGGCCTACTGTATAATCCAATAAGCTTGATCACTTGCAAATGTATACTAAAAAGTATGTCGTATACATAACATGTGCTTGTATACCAGGGGACCAGGAGTTACATGTCGGGGTGGTGTTTAGTCCCATCCACTGAGTGGATATGACACCCAGTGGGGATCCTTGCTTGGAAGCAAGATCCCAACACTGCTTGGACTCTCAGCCAAAATGGTTAGGGACCCAAACCAAGTGGACAACATGGCATTCTGCCCACGGGGTGTTCTGTTCTTTTCTGAGCGATTCTGGTCTTCTCCAACATCGACATCGTTGACTCATCCAGGAAGACTCGCTCCCGAGGCTCAGGGAGCTACGTGTTCTTGAGGGCAGAGCTGAGAGTCCGAATTCTTGGCTCAAGAAAGCAGTCGTCCTTCTTGAAGAAAGGAGGTTCTGCGGTTCGCATGTCGATGGGATTTTGATAGATTTTGAGCCAAGAGTCCTATACCCAGACACGACTAATGGGGCTGGCATATTTACATACATTGACCCCTCTGGCACCACCCCAATTGATCGGTAAATATGCCAGACATGGAGTGTTTGGGATAGGGTGGAGAAGGAACCTTGGTGACCTCTAGTCACGATTCCTTCGGCGTTCGGAAGCAACTTGAAGCAACTCAACATGACCTCAGACATCCCCTCCGTAGTGAAAAACACTGACGCAGCCGATGAGCTTGGGGGGATGAGTTCATCTGAGTTCCACTGACGTTGAACACCAAACCTTTGGGTAAAGAAGTGTTCAGATTGTGAGAGACCAACTGAGTTAACCTCGTTAGGCAGAACTAGCTTCTGCCCACCCTAAGAATCACGGCACAGAAACCCACGGTCCATGGGTTCGGCCTAGCTAGCTATAGGGCAAGAAGCAAAGTCTACCAAGGCCGAAACTTGGGGTGGTTAGTGGACACCCCGAATCACCTCTATAAGGGGCTATTATTCGACACCCCATGGCCGGGGGCCCAGGTAGACCTGGACCCGACTTCTAGTACTTTAGAAAATGGGAGTCTGACCAAAACAGGTAGACTTGTACCCATTTTCTGAAGTACGAACTGAGACTCCAGGTCTATAGAGATACAATCCCATAGGGTCCAGATACCTCCTGAGATGGTCGAACGGAGGTATATAAGAGGTATCTTTAGGAGGCCCAGACTGGGGCCCAGGAAAAGCTCTTTTTGGAGAAGTCAACACGGTGTGGATCAAATGGAGCTGAGCTGCTGCAAGGATTGCTGAATCAGCTGCGCCTCGCTGCACATGGCGATGGGCGAAGCCAGCGGGTTGGTGGTTTCAACTCACGAAACATATGCGTCAGGGGATTGAATCATCCCAAATAAAGGTTGAACCTACACAGATCTGATACCACCACCAGGCATTTTGGACATAAACATGCCAATGGTTGACAATCAGAACTACATGAAACCATGAAGCAACACCAATGGAACACCATGAAAGGCTTTAAAACGGCTGATCATGATCCTCTGCCCAAACACTGCCCAAAAGCTGGATAGCTACAAGATGCTACAAGCATAGCTACCAGCGGGGGTGCGCTATGACAGGAGCAACGCCCCGGCTCTTAAGAAAGGGCAACCGGCAAGCTCGTTCTCGTCCCGGTACTTAGTTCTCTACATTTAGAAACTTGCCATGTTTACAACAAACACGACTAATGGGACTTGCATATTTGCATACATTGGGCTGGTTGCAGGGGCCAATGTATAGGTATATAATGCCAGTCCCATGGAGTGTTTGTTGATTTGAACATGAACAAACTGGCTTTCTTGCAGAACACCAGGAACCGAAAACTGGACCTTGATCTGGTTTGAGGAAGTGTTGTTCCTATCCTATTGGATTGACCCCTGAAACTATGTCAATGCAGGCATCT